CTATATACATTATTTTTAAAATTAGACTTTGTGTAAATTGTTGGTCTTGACATTCTCAAAATACAATTAATTTTCACTTAGTTGTCAGAAAACATGACTTTAACAATATGATTTAAAATTTTATGTGGCATCTTTTCATGATGTGTAAGTTTTCATTTTTTTCTTTTTTGTTTTCGGTTTTTTTTCTTTAATTTTGTTATAACCTTAAAGAAAGTAGATAATTTATTTAGAAATAAAAAAGACAACTAATAAATTGTTTAATGATATTATAGTTAAACTACATCATTAATCAATCTAGTTTATCAGAAATAAAATGTTATTTTAATATTCTATTATTTTCTTTTAACAATAAATTTTGAATTATATTTTTTTTAGTGCTTAAATAGATTCCAACAATCCACAAAGTGGGTTGGAAAATGCTAATATTAAGAAAAAAGAAGGGAGGAAAGATGCAGATGCCCTTTTCTCATGCAAATGCCCCTTTTTCCTTCCTCTTTCACTTCCCTTCCCACGTTCTCTTTCCTTCACTTCGGTTAGTTACAGTGCTTAACAAGACTTAAAAATTCGTTTATTTACAGAAAATAAAAGACAGACCTTCATGGGGTAGTTACAGGCCGTTTCTTTAGCCTCTTGCCACCATAATTTTTATTCCTATAATTTAAATCATACAGTTTGAGGCTTTACAATAGTCTTCTTTCCTTTCTTTTCTTTCCTTTTTTTAATAAAGGTAAAAACCTTTTTTAAGCCCCCAAACTTGCCCCAAAATAGCATTTAAGCTCCTAAACTAAAAACTAGGCAGATATACCCTCCGACTCCACTAATGATGCAAATAAAACCTTCTCAAAAAGAGCTAAATGGTATTTCATGTTTAATATCACCTTGAAAGCATAAATATCCATGAATGAAAATGACTTATTTGCATCGTTAATGAAGTTGGAGAGTTCATCTGTTTCATTTTTAGTTTAAGGGTTTAAATACTATTTTATGATAAGTTCAGGGGCTTAAAAAGGGTTTTTTACCTTTAATAAATCATATAGTTATATCATATCGTAGTTTTTTTTTTTTTTTTAAATATG